GGCTCTGCTGCCTACATTCATGTAGACTACAGGCAGCTGGAATTGCGCAGGGCACCGCTTACTTTTGTGCCAGCGCTATGAGATCTCGGGACCGCTTCCCCGCTTGGAAAACAAGCAGCCTCATTGCTTGCAGCCGCTTCGCTCTCGGGTCACTGATGCACCTCGCTGCATAGGCTTATTACGTTGACTCCCGCTTTTGCCTCAGCTCGAGCAACGCTTTTGTTCGACTGGGGCGGGTCAACTCCGCTATTGTTATCGCTAGCTTCAGGCTCGATAATCTACGCTCTCACTCTTCCACTTCTCTATTTGCATTTTGCTCGACCGCCTCAGGCACTCCCTTCTGCAGACAGGTCGGGCCCCCAGCTCCATCGGTCACTTCTGCTGTCATCCCTCCTCGGCAGGTTCCATGGCGGCGGAATTTTTCTCCCTCATGAACGACTCGAGCATCCCCGACAACATCCGCGAAGCTCTGACCTCATATGACACCCCGCTTTTCGCGAGGTCATGCAACGACCAGGAGGAGCTGGCATCTCTTATCAGCCACCTCATGGACGCTTCAGATACTTCTTCGGCCGGGGACCAGATATTGGCCAGGGCTTCAATCCGACTGCTTTTTAGTCGATGCAGGGAGAGCTGTGGCCTACCACCCCTTGATGATGCAAAGGGAAATCAGCAACCGACCGCTACAACCTCACCCACAACAAACTCTCCTGCCCCCAACGCAAGCTCTTCGTGGCAGGAATCTTGGCCCGCCAAGCTCAGCGCCGAGCGAACAGCTGAGCTGCGCAAACGCTTTGAGGATGACTATCCCACCGAGCTGTTGGATAATGACAGCTTCCCCAGCTCCCGCTTGCTGGCCCTCACCTCGAAGATGGTAGCAGATAAGGAAATCCGCTGGCTGCCATGGAAGTTCCGCTTGAGTGCCAAAGCACAAGACGACAACTTGCTGATTCGCCCTAAGAAGCTACCCCGCCTTACAGAGCTTAGTGATCTGCTTTTGGATGAGGCACCTTCTCGGGATATTCATGATGGCCCAGCATCTTTCAACCTCATCAATCAGCTGCTCACATTGGCTACCAACAGTATCGCACTTTGTCGGGGCGCCCACTTGGGCTCCCTCAAGCTGTACCAGAAGAAATTTCTGAAGCTTTGTTTCACCAAGTACGAGTCAGCTTCCAACCTTCGAGGCCCCACTTCTTGGGAGGCTCAGGCGGCCGATAAGCGAGCATGGGAGCTTATCGGCGAGCTCGTGAATATTCATTCTTGGAAACTTGACGATGCCCTTCACGAGGTGACACAGGTCAGAGCCGATCTCAGTACACTTCTTGCGCCGCGAGCCCAGATTCCTAAGCACCTCTTCCAGCTTAGGGAACCCTGGAGGAACCGCCAGGAAGGCAAAGGCAACCGAGCTCATCTACGAGGCAATGGCAAAGGGGGTCACAAGGGCAAAAACGACTCCTCCTCCCATGCTGAGGACCCACCTTCGGAACGATCCACTCGTGGAGGCAAAGGCAAGAAGGGCCCCACTTCCAGTGCAGGCAAGTGGCTTTCTTCGCTCTTCATGGAGGGTAAGCAGCACACGCTTTGTATGCGCTACCAGCAGGGCCAGTGCAAGGACCCCTCCACGTGCCGCTACCTTCACAGATGCGCAGTACCCAAGCCAGACGGTACCGCATGCGGCGGAAAGCATCCAGCTTCCCAACATGTCAGCACGCCGCACTAGGAAACCCGCTTCAGTGACCAGCGGGAGTCAACTGAGGTGGTACAGCATGTCCCGCTTTGTGTACCGGCACGACCAGCTGGCACCCAGGGCACGCTGCAACCCCAGCCAGCAATCGCTGCCAGGGAAAGCTCCGCGGCATCACTCGCTATGTCAGCTGGTGATTTCAGTTTCTCCACTTGTTTGTCGCTTTTGGAGGAATAT